ATGGGGACTGTTGTAGCTAACAATGGGCTGTGAGTAACAGCACACTATGTGATAACAGGGCCTGATGTGTGGGGATAGGGGTAAGGACGTGGGAGAGCTCAAGCCCTAAAATTATTGAACTCATTATTGAGACCAAAAGGCTGCAGGGTCCCCAGGCAGAAAATGATGTGCTATTCTTCCAGCTTGGGCTGAGCTTCGCTGGAGCACAACTTTAAGCCTGAGACGGAGATTGTTGGCCAGGGAACAGGGTGGTATGTTGAAGTGGCAGGCAATTGGAAGCTCAGAGTCTTTTCTGAGCACAGAATGTAGGTGTTCTGTGAAGTGGTCACTCAGTCTACGCTTTGCTTCCCCAACATAGAGGAGACTAGATTCCGTGAAGAGCAAGTAAAGCACCGTTTCACCTGGAAGGTATGTTTGAGCCCTTGGATACTGAGGGGATAGGAAGTAAATAGACAGGTGTTACACCTTCTACGGTTGCAGCAGAAGGTACCATGAGGCTGTGGGGTGTTGTTGGGAGTAAAGTAAGAGTGAACCAGGGTGTCCCAGAGGTAATAGTCCCAGTGGGAGGCTGACAAGGGAGGGGAGGGGAATATATGTCTGGTGGTGGCATCTTCCTGGTGAAAATGGCGGATAATGATCCTCTGGATGTGGATGCTGGTAGGATGGCAGGTAAGGACAAGTGGGGCCCCTATCGCTGTTGCAGGAGGGAAGAGAGGGGGTGAGCGCTGAACTGCGGGAGAGGGGTTGGACCCAGCTGAGGGCCCCATCAACAATAATGCTGGGGAATTCTCCATTGAGAAAGAAGGTGGACATTTTGAAGGCTCTCTTGTTGAAGTTGGCATCGTCAGGGCAGATGCAACGGAGACGGATGAACTGGGAGAATGGAATAGAGTCTTTACTTAAAGCAGTGTGTGAGGATGTGTAGTCACGGTAACTGTTGGAGTCAGTGGGTTTATAGTGGACATTGGTGGCCAGCCTAACCCCAAAAATGGACAAGGTCAAATGTCACATGACACAATTTATAGTCTAACAGATTTATTTGAAATCACAAGGTTATAGAGCGCTGCTGTTTCATCAGGTGAAGTGAAGCACATAGGCACAGAATTTATAGGCAGAGAGATCAAAAGATCATACAAATGGTGTGCATGGAGTGTCAATAGGCAGAATAACAAATCTCTGCAGATGATCAAGTGTCAGACAGTGTGAGTAAAGTGTCAATAGCTGAATAGCAAGTGAAGGGTTGACCTATGATTCAATTAATTGAGGCAGAGAGATAATTATAAAAAAGTTAAAAATAAGATGGTGCTGCAGACAAATCAAATGGCTGGAATAACACGATAGGTATAACAATCACATACTGTGGGACTAAACAAAGTAACAAGTTATCTAAAACTGTACAAACTAATTAAGTAGAGAGATCATAACAAGTTATCAAGGTGATGGTGTCAAAACAGAACGCTAAGGAAGATTTTACAAATATAGAACAGTATAGTGGGCTTTCATGTAGGATGACATGAACCCAAGATCATGTTCGAGGCCATCTTCAAGGGTGGGGAACTTGGGTATTAGTTTCTGCTCGGCGATCCTGCGTTGTTGTATATCTCAAAGGCCGCCTTACCAGAAGATTGGAGGCTGAATGTCCTTGACTGCTGAAGTGTTCCCCGACTGGGAGGCAACATTCTGGTGACTGGTGCGCGGTGTTCTATCCATTGTCATAGCCTCAAGACAGCATCCGCAGTTCTTTCGGTTCTTAAGATTCACTCCATCCTAAATTGAAACCTGCCTCCCACTTTGAGTATGCAAGTATAATTTAACCCTTAAGAGTTTAAAAATCTAGACTTTCCCTAACAGCGGCAACAATCGTCTCAGGAGGAAGATGAGAACACCGGGCAGGAGAAACATCAATGTGACAGAGCCATGCAGTGTTGATGCGACAAGAAGACTAAACTTAATGGACACCTGCTTCCATTAGATGCAAGTTGGGCAATGATCATTCTTTGACTGTAAATTTATCATTGATCCAAAGAAAAGCAGTCCCAGTTTATTCACAGAAGCAAATGAAGCATTGTTTTTGTTTGATTTTACTTTTTTTTTTCTCTAAAAAACTGAAAGAACTGCATATGCTGGAAATCAGAAACAAAACAGAAATTGCCAGAAAATCTCAGCAGGTCTGGCAACATCTGTGGAGTGAAATCAGTGTTAATGTTTTGAGTCCAGTTCTGTTTTGCTTTTTTTTCCCATTGTTCAATAAAATTTAAAATTTTAACCTGTTTGATGGCTATCTAACGTGAAATTGAACAATGACAAATAATAATGTGGTACGTATTTCGGCAATAACCCTTTGAAAGGGTTCTAATATGGAATGGCATTGAGGAAGGGTAGCTTCTGCTTGTAGCTGCAGGTAAAATTGCAGTTGGTAGGTGATTATTAAGAGTAGCAATACATTTACAAAAGTGAAATTTTATCTCCAATGAAGTGTTAGTTATGTGTCCAGAAGTGTTTATTTGTCATCTCCCTCTCACTATGCATACTGTGAACTGCTGTTTGTTGCTTGCAGGGATTGACCTGGTTCACTGCTGGGTTCTGAATATGGTGCTGGCAACAGAAATAGCAGGAGATCCTGACAGCAGTGAATATTTCTACCATTTGATGAGCACAATAGCAGAAGCAGTGCTGCAGAAGCATGAGATATACACAATGAGATGAACAGCATAGAGTTATGTAAGATAACTTGTGAGAGTTCACAGCTTGAAATCCCCCATAAAACTCTCTGAAATTGACACATTTTTAAAATATAATTCAGTCCAAAATATTTGTTTGAAGTCTCTGTCTTTTCTTTGTTCCCCATTAAATTTCTTCTGTATCTGCCTATTAGGGACCCACATTTAGTTATGCTAATCTCTTCAATTTTACATATTGAAAATTGATATAAAAATATTGATTGAATTTTTTTACAATCTGTTTTTATGCTCTGTGTTAGTTTGCTGTCATATTTTATTCTGTTGCTCTTTATTAATTTCTTGGTCATCTTTTGCTGATTATTAAAATCTACCCTATCCTCAGAGTTGTTACTTTTTGATTGTAAGTCTGTTAATATTATTCTTGACCATTTTTAGATACATGGAGTTGTGTCACTTTTCCAGTAAAGTTTTATTCTTCAAGAAGACCATTACATCAGCAGAATCTTCTTATCACACCCTATGAATAAATCTCCAGAAATACATCAATCATTAACCCTACTGTGTGATTCACACAATGTTTATCACATTGAATTACATCTTGCATCATTCCTTGAAGTGAGGCAACATTTTGATATTTTAACATCAAACTGTTCAGAGATGTAACAGTTTAAAATTATGCACCAGACCTGTCTTTTTCACACAATACTCAATCTAAAATGAGGTAAAGTGAAACTTCTTCACCCAGAGTGGCGAGCCTGTGGAATTTGCTTTCACAGAAAGCAGCTGATATGAAAACAATGCATGTTTTCAAGGAGTTAGATCTCATGTCTTAGGGGTAAAGGGATTCAAAGGGTATGGTGAGAAAGCAGGATGAAGGTACTGGGTTGGATGACCAGCCACATCATATTGAATGGCAGAGTTAGCTCGTAGGTCTGAAGGACATATTCCTGCTTCTATTTTCTATGCTTCTAAAATAGGCTGTCTTCTGGTTGGAAGACAAATGTTGTCTCAAATGTATTCTATGAAGTCATTCTCCAAGTGTCTTGTACCAATTTATTTTGTGCTGTCTAGGTGAAGATTAGAGGCTGATATAATCATTGCATTACTCTTGTCATATGGTGCTATTTCTTGATTTATATTCAGACAAGACCACGTTTACTGCCAGCGAGACTATAAATTACACCCATGTCTTTCATCTTAGTCAACCCATACTGACTCTACATCTTAATTTTCAGGATTAAGTTTTTTTCACTTTTTTTTCATCTTTCAGGGCTACCCACCCCACCTTTTGTTTCAGAGATAGCAGGAACTGCAGATGCTGGAGAATCTGAGATAACAAGGTGTAAAGCTGGATGAACACAGCAGGCCAAGCAGCATCTGAGGAGCTGTGTTCATCCAGCTCTACACCTTGTTATTCCCCACCTTTTGTTTCGTCTCTCTTCTAAAATATATAGGTCTGCACTTCAATCACTCTGCCATTACTTCTCAATAACAGGTAATATAAAACGCTCATTTATTTTCTTTCGTTTTGTACATTTAGTTATAAATTTGTAATTTTAATGTTTTCCCGGATAGTGGTCTTAGTCGATAAAGCTTTGCCGGTGTTGATAAATCTGTCTCTTCCTGACAAGGTTTGTTTGATTTTATCCAAATGACTCTGCTTTATAGACTTGACTTTTGTTTTTAGACCATTAAATCAACAGTATCCTCTTGTCGTATCCTATGATTAAATCTCCAGAAACACATCAAACCAGTAACCCTATGATGTGGTTCATGCGACGTTTGTCACGTTGAATTACACCTCGCACCATTCTTTGAAATTAGGCAACATCTGGATTTTTTTAATCAACCCGCTCAGAGACGTCATGACATACTTCTGGAGCAAGTGGAGAACTTGAACCTGGGCCTCCTGGCTCAGAGGGAGGGACACCACAAGAGGCAACATTTAGATCGGTGTCTACGCCTGATCAGAGAACAGCGTTAAATTTTTGGGACTGCTACTGGGAAATGAACAGCACTTCAGAAATGCCATGGGAAAAAAAAACTAACTCTTTCAAGACCTCAAAAGCTACAGATCATCACATCAGATCTGGCCTTAAATTTGAAAAAAATCGAGCAGGTTTGTTTGTGCGAATTAGAGAATCAGTGACAGTAAAATAAACATATACCTATTAGGTGTGGAAGAGTGGCTCTATCCTGCAGGCAGGGTTGTCCTTGAAGGAAGGAGGGGGGGCGGGGGAATGTGCTGATGTAATCCCGTCATCCAGTGCAGCCGGCCCTCGACGTGCAGTGAAAGATAAACACGGCGGCGGAATCCCTGCTGGCTGAACCTCTTCTGAAATTAATGAACTCACGCAGCAGCAACAACAACAACTCACTTCTTCGCCAGCTTCGTGTCGGACGTCGAACGAAGAGAACGCCGCTGTGTGGGATTGAGGTGGGTGGTGGGGAGAGGCGATCAGGCCCGAGGTAAGAGGGTACGGAGGTCTGTTGGGGAGAGATTTTATGTGAGGCTGCCTCCGCCTGTGGCCCTCGTGCCGGCGGTTGGCCCAGAGGCAGCGCGTGAGGGAGATTCCAGAACAATGTCCGCGAGCTTCAGCGCAACGGCAAGTCCACCTGCCCCTCACCAGCCCTGTTCTGAAACATCGACTTCCTTGCTCCTCTGATGCTGCCTGACCTGCTCTTTCCTCCAGCTCCACACTGTGTTGTCCGTCACCAGCCCAATCCTCTCTACTCACTGGTCAACACCATGCAGTATTTACTGAGTCGGGGTCATTCTGTTAATGCGTTGTTGGCCTTTTTCACACCTGTGGAGCACACTTGTGTTCCACACTGAAGTTAATTTATGAGGGATTTGGAATATTATTTTAACGTGCCATATAATAAAGTTTGTAAAGTTTCTTTTCAAAATAAATTCTTAAGGTTCCTATTTCCCCGCCCTCCTCGAGCAATTTTAACGGGGAAAGTATGTAATATAGAGATATATGATCTTGCTTGTGTACTTGTGCCCTTTGTTTTATTAGGTAAAAATAAAAATCTGTAAACAAGTGGGTGTGCTCAGTTGTACGATGTATTTGCAAATACAGTATGAAGTAGTGTGGGTGTTTTGCCTAGTGTATGAGAGTCGTGTTCTGGATGCAAGTTTGTCCCTTTTTCAGCTACCCAACATTGGCAATCCAAAATAGGGTAGCAAACCATCCCAGGAACAAGAAATGCTTTAGAGGGGAAGGTCATTCATCTGTTGAATGTGCTCATCTGCGTTACATTCTAGCTCATGGCTAGTCAGTTACTTTCATTTAATTTGTCTCTGTTGTCCCCATTTTTTTTGATGTCAATGCTATCCTGAAATCTATCTGTGCCTTGAAGGTATTCAGTGACTGAGCTTTCACAGCCCACTAAGGGTACAGAATTCCAATAGTTGACTACTCTCCAAGTGAAGAAATTCTTCTCCATTTCAGTCCTAAATGATTTTCTCCTTATTCTTAGAATGTGTCCTCTCGTTCCCATTCAGAGTCATAGAGGGCTACAGCATGGAAACAGGTCCTTTCGCCCAACTTGCCTATGCTGCCCAGTTTTCACAATTTAAACTAGTCCCATTTGCCTGCATTTGATCAATATCCCTCCGTGCCTATCCCATCCATGTACCTGTCAAAATGTTTCTTAAATGATGAAATTGTACTCGCTTCCACCACTACCTCTGGCAGCCTGTTCCAGACATTCACCACCCTCTGTGGAAAAAATTGCCCCTCTGGACCTTTTTTGTATCTCCCATCTCACCTGAAAGCTATGCCGTCTAGCATTAGACTCCCCTATCATGGGCAAAAGCCGTTGGCTATCTACCTTTTCTATGCCTCGTGATTTTCAGTCTCCTACGCATCAGGGAAAAAAATTCCAGCCTATCCAACCTGTCCTTATAACTCATACCTTTCAGTCCAGGTAGCATCCTAGTAAATCTTTTCTGCACTCTTTATTGTTTAATAATATCCTTTCGTTAGTAAAGCAACCAACATCTTTTCTTTATCCAACTAGTCCATCCTTTAAAAAGTTGGCCAGAAGTCAATGCTCCCAACCTTAGAGAGCTTGGAAGTTGCTCAAAATGATTGCTGCTTGTAATTGAATTAACAATTTCAGAATAATAACTTTAGCCTTAGAGGCATACACCCACTTTTATAAGCAGATGTATAGATAACAGTATTATACTCTCTTTGTGTAAAGAGCATGTATTCTGACTTACTCCAATATCTGCTAGTCAATATTACTATCTCCCTAATTAGCAAACTAGTCATTGGGCTGAGAGTTACCTTTGAGCAAACTGATCACTTCGAAGGATGTGACCATACCTCCAAGCAGCTGCTTATAGTGTTAACGAGATGAATCACCCAAATTGCCTGATGTTTAGGAACTATTAGTGATTATTGACAAATTAGCAATCTTTTTCAACTTACTGTCTTGGTTTTCTCGAATGTATTGATATTTTATTTGTTTATTTTGTATTGTTGAATTGATTATTTTAGTTTAAGACTCCTAGCCCATAACTTAGAAGGGACACATTGATTGAAGCAGTAGTCTGCCTTGGTGAGGAAATGTGAATTGATACCGCTGTTTTCAACTTCCTTGCTGGTCTCAGCAAAGTTTACATTCCTTTTTAGTCACATGGCATTCTTGAATTAAAATGTTCTTTTTACTCTACTCTATTACTACAGTGATCATAAGGTTTTTTGAGTTTGAGAAAGTTTATTACCTGCTAATGCCAAAAAAAATTAGAGACAAGTTCAAATGTATTGCCTTCTTGCAGTTACACACTTGCACAGAATTAGTGTCCAGTAGGGTCAAAGACGTTCAGAGAGGGTGCAGGATATTCTCAAAGGGGAGAGTGACCAGCAGAAGGTCATTGTACATGTTGGTACCAATGATGTAGGAAGAGAAAGGGACAAGGTTCATCAGAGAAAATAAAGGTTAAAAAGTAGGTCCTCGAGGGTGGTAATATCTGGATTACTCCAAGTGCTATGTGCTAATGATAGTAGGAACTGGAGGATAGGGCCGATGACTGTGAGGCTGAGGACCTGGTGCAAGGGCAGGGATTCACATTTCGGATTATTGGGATGTCTTGTACACGTAGAAGTGACCTGTATAAAAGTACAGCTTGCAGCTGAGTTGAAGGGGACCAGTATCCTGGTGGAGAGATTTGCTAGTGCTACTCAGGCAGAACTCTGTGAAATAATCCCATGGATACTGGAAATCTGAATTAACAGCAAAGTACTGAAGCGACTCAGCAAATCTGGCAGCATCTCTGGCAAGGGAAACGGTTAACATTTTGAGTCCAGTGACTCCTCTTCAGAACTGAAATAGCAGCCTGTTTGTCTGTTCTGTCTGTGGCCATTATGTTTTCAGGCTAGATAGATGTAGGCGGATATCCATGTTAGGTACAAAACCAGACACGGGAAGTCATAAACGAATTGTCCAAATTTTATACAACTGTGACACTTTCACCTTTTTCATTCATTGTAATTTCCAGCATTCTTTTTATTCTTAAACTATTCAAAATGCTGCCAGATTGTGGTGACAGTTGAAGCTTTTCTCTAAAATGCAACTGACAAATCATTCAAATCAATTTATTCATTTTTACAGCATATGTATCAATGTATGAAACTTGTATTTGAATCCATTTTAATTTCAAGTAATTTGGAGATTTTCATATTTATTTGTCATCAGTAAATATAGGCACTCTCTTAAACTTCCATCTTAAATAGGTCATCCACAATATTGTGAATTCCTTTAATATAAACCAAAACTGTAGATGCTGTAAATCAGAAACAAAAACAAAAATTACTGGAAAAGCTCGGCAGGGCTGGTAGCATCTGTGGAGAGAAATCTGTGTTAATGTTTTGGGTCAAGTGACCCTTCCTTAGAACTGTTCTGAGGAAGGGTCACTCGACCTGAAACGTTATTCTGATTTCTGTCCACAGATGCTGCCAGACCTGCTGAGCTTTTTCAGCAATTTTTGTTTTTGTTGTTGTTCTTGTAAATTCTTTTGTTACATAAACTGTTCCAATTGCTATAGTTAGTGGTTGATCACAGATGCTCAATCTGTTCTGAAATCTAATCTCCCTGGATTTTGCTTTTATTTAACTTGTATAAATTTGGTTCTTTTTCTAAAGTAGAGCTCCCCTTGTCCCCTGTAAAAAGAAAACTTTGAAGCGTGTAGAGGGAAAATCTAATAAATGTGGTCTTTTGTAGTGATAAGTTTATAAGGGTCATCAAGTTTATGTTCTGATGAAAGGTTACAGATTTGAAATGTTAACTGTTGTTTCTATCTCCAGAGATATGGTGATAACCTGACTTTAGCTATTTCTATTTCTGTCAAGCTTTTTAACATCTAGTCTTGTTTGACCTTTTCAGTTATTTTGCACAGGCAGTATTTTTCTCAAAACAAAGACTTTTACATAGGTTCTTATAATAGGGAATGTGGGGCATAGGGGTAGAAAGAGAGTGCTTTCCTTTGTGGAAAGCAACGGATTAGTTCTGAAGTACTGGTGAGCGTATTGTAGTTTATAGTAGATGAAATTTAGCTAACAGTATATGTCATGAGTTAGTTGGAATTGATGATTGCAAACAAGTAAAATGAAATTTTTGAATGCATAAGCTTTTTCCTCAGTCTACTTATTCTCATTGTTTGGCTAAAATACACTGTGAAGTTGACTTCTATGATTTGTGCACTGTCAGCAATATACTATCGTACAAAATGCTGCAAAGTATTGTCTGTTTTTCTATCTTTTTAAAAAGTATTTAGCTGCTGATGGCTTATTTCTTTTGAGCAAAATTTACTACTCAAGCAAGTATAATTACGTTTACATTTTAAGGTGATACACATTTGGTGTTAGTAAAGCAAATAATGTGGAAAAATAATGCTGGAAATTTTGAAATCAAGCTAAAAATAGTAGAAATGCTTAGCAGGTCAGATGGTGTCTGTGAAGAGAAAAATGTTTCAAGTCAATAGCCTTTCATCTGAGCTGATTAAAAATTCTAATGAAAGGTTATCAACCTGAACCGTCACGACCTTTTCTGTCTTCAAAGATGCTGACTGACGTGTTGAGTATTTCTAACGTTTTCTGTTTTGAATAACATTTTCTATTTTTGCCAAGCTAAGACTTGGAAATGTAGAGAATTGAAACTTAAATGTGCATATCTTTTTAAGAGTGTTTCTACCGTATCCTTATTTATATTTGAAACTTTTGTTCAAATACTTGCGTGTTCCCATTTTTGACCCTTATTTATTATACAGATAGTTCTCCTATAACATGATAGTTGCGTTCTTGTGCGAACTCTTGCTATTGAAAATTGCATAGAAAATCATGTTATAGAGCAATTGCTATAGAAAATTGCTATACTGTACAGTAGAAAGTTCACATTATCCAAACGGCGTCCACTATTCATCAATGGCATTATAGCCAATCGCATTAACAAATCATACATTATAGTAGAAATACCTGTACAGGATTTAATTGAACATTAAATGGCTATCATCTTCCAGCTGAAGAACATTACCTGCTAAATTAGTTCATTCACCTATCAGTCTTGTGCTTACTGGCCTCCGACTCCCGATCAAGCACCATCTTGATTTTGAGACACTTAGACTTGTTTTCAAATATCTCTGGTTTTGCCCCTCCTTGTATATCATCTCCAGTCCATAATTCTTCAAGATACCTGTGTTCCTCTAATTCTGACCTCTTGAACATGCCCAGCATTAATTGCTCCACCATTGGTGGCTATGCCTTCAGTTGCCCTGGAACTTAAGCTTTGGAAATCCTTTCTCATACCTCCCTGCCTCTCTATGTCGTTTTCGTCCTTTAAGCTGTTTTGATTGAGATTTTCATCTTCTGGCTTGATATCACTTTATGTAATTCAGTGTTATCTTTTGTTTGATAATATTCGTGTAAAGTGCCTTGGCTCAAGGAAAACTTCTGTAGAAAACTTCAATTAAATTCGGCAGAAGATTTTGAGCTATCTTGATTGATACCTCGTGAAAAGTATTGTTCTAATTGTTGTTTAGAAAGTGTTCATTTTAAATTCTTTAAAAATAGTTCTTTATATTAAGGTTTTGAATTCTCATGTGTCACTTTTCGTAGTTTCCTCAAAGTGCTGCCACACCAAACTTATAACCAGGTGAAATTAGGATTTGAGCAATTGCTAAGTATCTTATAGCAAAAAACTCAGGCCTTGCAATATTTATGGACAAAGAAATTCATTTATGCTTTTGCAACCAGTACTGCACCTCCTGTATATTCAACATGAAATATTAGCTGTTACTGTCTACACAGATTCTGCTAGACTTTTGCTTGAGTTTTTCTAGAAATTAGTTTTTATTTCAGATTTCTAGCAAGTGCAGTATTTTAATTTTAATTAAATGCTTATTTGGGGAGTACCTGATGTGTTAATACCTAATGTTGCAAAGCTGAATGGAGTCACCTGATTTCTAACCCATTGATTTGAGGTTTGTTAATAAGAAGGCATGTCATATCTTTCATGTTCTCATATTAAACCAAACTATGTCAAACCATCTAATTAAAGTATTTGAAATCAAATTATTTGAATAATTCTCTAGGTGCACTTCATCAGTACAGTGATATAAGTTTGAAAATGGATAAGATTCAGTGCCTGTAAGGAGAATGGAGGATTGGTCCTTAGCATCACAACACCAGATGTGAGCTTACCAAGGTGGATACAATGGGGAGCACTACAAGACAATGACAAGAGGACAGAGTGGTCTGGGAAGAATTCAACAGATGGTGTTAAATTCTGGACTATTTTGATGTAATGGCTAAAGTTTCTGACCAGTCTCAGACACAGTATAGAGCAAACAATGTACCGTATATATCCCGACAGTGGAACAATTGTCTTGATGGCTTTCAGTCACAGGAATGATGCCTCTGCTGTTTTGTTTTTATACATTCTTTCTAATGTAGCATCAATTTCAATCATGTTTTAACTGAAAGTTCAGTTACAGTGATGCAAATAATGATTTTGTTTGCTACTAAATTTCTGTACAGAGTTTCTGAGGTCTATGTATATGTAAGCTAAATTACATTTAATTCTTTTTCTTCTGAAGAGTTAATTGAACCATGGGGAAAAATCTATCTCGTTTATCGCTGCACAGACCCATGAGTGAAAGTCATGAATCGTGCACATCAGTAATGGATAGGGACAAACTGGATATTTCAGCTGATCATGACGAAGACTACAGTAGAAATGGGGATGTTTCTCAGTTTCCATATGTGGAGTTCACTGGTCGAGACAGTGTTACCTGTCCAACATGTCAAGGAACAGGAAGAATTCCAAGAGGTGGGTATTTCTGAGTATTCTCAGTTGCATTTGAGATTTTCATTCAATTACTATATAATTTTTGTACTGATGAATACTTAACATATTTTATGAAGTGAAACCGTTCACATTAGCAGTAACTAAGAGCATTGATTGGTGATTGTTAAAGCATACATATATGTGTAACTTCTATAGTTCTGTTGTAGATACTTAACCTTAAACATCAAATGAAGATGGCTTTCATCGTCTCAACACGCAGTCTTGGCATTCATTTGTCATTGTCATTACCAGTATTATGAATTTAGTTTTCAAAGATATTATAGAAGTTTTTCAGAGTTCCTGCAAGACTTAACAATCTCTTTTACAATGCATTTAAAGACATACCTCTCTGGTATTTTACATTTGGTTATTTTAAACTGGTATTCATTTATACTAGACAACAAGGTGCAGAGCTGGATGAACACAGCAGGCCAAGCAGCATCATAGGAGCAGAAAGGCTGACGTTTCGGGCCTAGACCCTTCATCAGAAATGGGGGAGGGGAAGGGGGTTCTGAAATAAATAGGGAGAGAGGGGGAGGCGGATAGAAGATGGATAGAGGAGAAGATAGGTGGAGAGGAAACAGACAGGTCGAAGAGGCGGGGATGGAGCCAGTAAAGGTGAGTGTAGGTGGGGAGATACGGAGGGGATAGGTCAGTCCAGGGAGGATGGACAGGTCAAGGGGGCGGGATGAGGTTAGTAGGTAGGAGATGGGGGTGCGGCTTGAGGTGGGAGGAGGGGATAGGTGGAAGGAAGGACAGGTTAGGGAGGCGGGGACGAGCTGGGCTGGTTTTGGAATGCGGTAGGGGGAGGGGAGATTTTGAAGCTTGTGAAATCCACATTGATACCATTGGGCTGCAGGGTTCCCAAGTGGAATATGAGTTGCTGTTCCTGCAACCTTCGGGTGGCATTGTTGTGGCACTGCAGGAGGCCCAGGATGGACATGTCGTCTGAGGAATGTCGTCTGATGCCGAAGCAAATCTGCCCACCACCGATGCAACTCCGCCCACAGCCAACGCCGACGCAACTCCGCCCACAGCTAACGCAACTCCGCCCACAGCCGACGCCGACGTCACTCCGCCCACAGCCTCCACAGCCAGCAGCTCCAGAGGGGACAATAGCACCCAGCCCTGCCGAGTCTTCACCATCCCCCCAGACCTCCCCCTTACTGAGGACGAACAGTCAGTCCTCAGTAAAGGGTTCACCTTTGTCCCCCTCTACCCACACAACGAATACCAGTCATGTTTGGACACAGAGCAGTTTTTCCGCCGCCTCCGCCTCCACGCTTACTTCTTCAACCGTGAACCTAACCCTCCCTCTACTGACCCCTTCTCCCGCCTCCAACACACCCCCTCCTCCTGGACACCACCCCAAGGCCTCCTACCCTCCCTTGACCTCTTCATCTCCAACTGCCGTCG